CCACCACGACCACCACCAACACCACCACGACCACCACCACCACCGGCGGACCAGCCCCGGGTGCTTACTGGCGGATAAGCCCCAAACATAAGTTTTAGGTTTGATCGCCCACGAAATATTGGGCATAAACGATAATGAAAAAACTACACTGGATTCGTGTTCAGCATGCATTACTCTTTATAATCACGTACCTCGAGATTTGTAAAGAAAATATTATTGCCGATATTACAATATTTTTACGCGCAGAAAATTTTACTTTCACTTTCTAAAAACACGTTTGCCCTCGTAAAAATCATAACACGGCAGGTAACCTGCCGAAACTCTGTTGGTTACATGGGTACCATAAGCAGCGTTTACACTGTTAATAGCGAGTTTGCACAATATACAGGTTCCGAGATATTTGATTTGGCGGTTCAATCCCGCTGGCGGTTTAGCCCCGGTCTCCCCTACTATACTATGTAAAAACGTTTTTCAATTCAGTGACCCCCAAGTACGCAGTTTCCCTTTGTCAGATGTTTTGCATAATTTTATAGTGCCACAGTAACAGAATTAAGGCAAAGCTGCTCGGAAACGTGCTAACAAGAGGAAGAATATTATGAGACAGAAGCTCGAATTTACTGGAGAGACACATCGATATATCAATTATTTCCCAGGTAGCACATATTAGTTTCATATACGTTTCTTGAACGTATATATAGTTTTGTAACCGTAAAGAACCATTAAGAAACGTTTGAACAAAAATGTTTTTGAAACTATGATTTAAACCATGATTTAAGAAACGTATTTTTTACGTTTCTACAGTTAACAAAAATATTTATTAAATTTTTTTTTCCAAAATTATAATTTGCTTTATCTATATATAATAGCTTTAATAGTCTTTTTTAAAACATTGAATTTTATATTGCACTAATTATTGCACAAAATAAATTATTTTATCTATGCATATATATCCACTTATTTACTTAATTTAATTTTGTCCTACAGGTCTTAATCTATTTGTCATCGGACAAATCTGAGCTTAGAAAACTTCCAACAGTTGCAAAATAAACGTTCTGCTGAAAGTGGCTATTGAAAGAACGTTTATATGTTTGTTTTATTTTGAAGAACTTTTTGAACTGGTGCACATCAGTAGGGGAGATCGGGGCTCGTTGGCACAGTTTTTACAATTTCGGCATTTGATTTTTTAAACAACTAATTATCATGATTAAACAGTACTAATATGATAAAGAGAACTTTTCTCTACATTTTTATAGCAGGAACGATCCTTTATGTACTGTATATAGTTTCTTTGTAATAAGTAAAATATGAACATGCTGCTTTGTAGCCAGCTTGTCCCGATAGTAGGGTAAGTTGGGTATACGACAAAAATCTATGTTAAATAAATAAAAACGTAATAGAAAGACAAAGCGCGTAGCAGATGTACTTCTTGATAAAGATTGTATATCTTTTAAAGTTATTTTGTAATGATCAAATAGCAAAATCCTGTTGCAGAAAATTGTTAACTATTTTAAATGTAGCTTTCTTCGATATAAAAATATTAAATATAAATATATATCTAGCAGCTTCTATCAGCATTGTAGGTAGCAAATCACATATTTACTTCACACACGTCTCACTCTCGCGGCAATAGCAAGTCAAAATCTATTCCTCTCTCCCCAAACTCACTCATTAATTAGAAACACCAATAGAACCTCATAAAACCCAATTTTCAATCCCATAGTAGCCATCTCCATAAAATTAGTAATCTTTTGGTACCAATTTCATCAAAATCATCAACAAAAAATTAGAAAAATTTTGGCACCGGTTTCAAGAAAATCGATCCATTAATAAAAAATTATCCATTAATAAAAAATTAAACTTATCCTCCAAAAATTTAAAAAATTTTGGCACTGGTTTCAAAAAAATCGTTCAATTAATACGTATTATTTCTCAAAATTTTAATAATTTCCAAACCGGTTTCTAAAAATTAATAACAAAAAATTATCCATAAAAATTATCCATTAAAAAAATTATCCATAAAAAAATTTAGCTTGATATCTCAAAGTTTGCGGAAATTGGAGCAATCACGTATATATATATTTTTTTTACAGAAATTGTGAACCATTTTACTATTAGCAATTTTTTTAATTCTATTACATTCTTTAGTTCTTTCTACCCCTATCTATATATATAAGTACCTGACGTTTGTATGTCTGTCTGTCTGACGCAAACTACTTGTTATTTTCCGAGAAATTGGAAAAATTTTGTAAATGGTTTCCAAAAACCGGTCTTAATTGCTCGCGACAGTCACGAATTGAAGTAACTGGTTAATTCCCCAAAAATTTAAAAAATTTCTGATATTGGCTTCCAAAAAGATCGGTAACAAAAAATTATACACTTTATAGCACTCCCCGGAAAATTCTACCCCTGTTTCATATATAACTTTTTGAAAGTCGGTCAATTATTTCCCGAAAAATTAGAAAAACTGGTTTCTAGAAAATCGGTAACAAATCCTACATACAACATATTTCATTTAAAACTAATCGACCTGTGAACGATTTAATTCCCGAAAACTATAAAAAAAAAGATTTATTTTTTTTGCCTTTGCAGCTTCCTCCATTTCATAATTTAGTGCTGCTCTTAGCACTAGATCATCCTGACCGTCTTCTAATGTACATTTTTAAAAAAATCACGCAGATTTTTTTAAACAAAAATCGGAAACGTTTCAAGAAAATCAGTACATTAATGAAAAATTAAACTCGCGGTTTCAAATAAATCAGCATATACAATTCTTTGAGATTCGGTCAATTATTTCCCGAAAAACTAGAAAATTAGAAAAACTTGTTTCCATAAAATCGAAAATTTCGGTATCAGCTTCCAAAAAGATCGGTAACGTAAAATTATACACTTTACAGCACTCTGTTTCATATATAATTCTTTGAGATTCGGTCGATTATTTTCCGAAAAGTTAAAAAAATTAAAAAAATTGGTTTCCAGAAAATCGGTAACAAAAAACTATACCCTTTATGGCATTCCCCGGGAAATTCTAGCTCTGTTTCATATAAAATTCTTTGAAATTTGGTTGATTATTTCCCGAATTCGGTCGATTATTTCCCGAAAAATTAGAAAAATCGGTTTCCAGAAAATCGGCAACAAAAAACTATACACTTTATGGCACTCCCCGGGAAATTCTACCCCTATTTCATGTATCCTTGATAAAAATTCGATCCACTAACGAATGAGTAGTTCGCGGTCAGACAGACAGACAGACAGACAGACGTCCGGTACTTATATATATAGATATACTAGCTGGTTACCCGGAGGACATATGTAATAAGACACGCAAATAGTCTCTCTCTCTCTCTCTCTCTCTCTCTCTCTCTCTCTCTCTCTCTCTCTCCCCCCCCTCCCCCCCCCCCCCCCCCCTCTCTCTCTCTCTCTCTCTCTCTCTCTCTTTTTCTCTCTCTCTCTCTCCTAGATAGACGTGCCATATATCCGTATTTAGTGAATATTTTCTGCCGTCCACTGCCCTCCGGGGCCTTCCTTTTCTAGTGCATGGATATAGAGCTATCTTGGCTTGCATTATTCGTTTCTGCTTATGCTGGATCTGTTCCTGAGGTGACTATTACCTGCATTTGTTTCTTTTCTTCCTGGAATTTGGCATCTTCACGTTTTGGTATCTGCGGGGTGCGCATGCGCTGGATCCCTGGCTGGCTGCTGGCGTGCGAGGAGTTCGTGAGCGATGCCGGAAAGGGAAACAACTTCGCCCTCCGTAGCGGACACGGAGCATGATGGTCGCGGTGAAAACAAAAACAAGCCTTTTAGGAGGGCTTCCTCTTCTGTTTCAAATCGATCTGCTTCGTTTGAAAAAGCGCATGAATTTGTAATGAATGTGTCAAGGGTAAATGCATTAAAACAATTAATAAAATTGCATAGTGATGAGGTCATTTCATCGCTCTTGTCGAGTAAGGAGACTAAAGACAGGAAAACTCAGATTGAAGCTGCTTTTCGCGTTTGTAGGGAAGCATTTGTAGAACTTTTGGCCGCCTATATAAGTCTTTTAGAGCGTCAAACACATGCGCCTTCCCCCGAAATGATCGGGGACATTTTTAGGGATGTTCTGGCTGAGGCTCGCAACTGCCCCCGGGCGTGTGAGTCCGGCGGATGTTCTGCGTCGTGCGAGCCGGTGGGCGCTGCTTCCGGGCGCTCATATGCATGCGTTGCTGCCTCCCAGCGGGCTGTGACTAGCGTAGCGGGTGGCCCTCCACTGAGAGTTCCGAAGACGACGAACCTGATTATGATCCCGAGGGATGACTCCTCAACTAAATATGTCACGTCAAGGGACACGAGAGAGGCTTTGCAGAAAACTGTAAGACCATCGGACTTTAACTTAAAAGTTAAAAGCATATCATCGACCAAGAAAAACGGTGGCCGAATCGAGGCCCTCTCCGTGGACTTGAATAAGATAAAGGAATCGATCGAGCTTGATAATGCTGGTCTCAAACTAGAGGAGGAAAAAAAGGCTAATCCTAGGCTGCTTATTCGAGGAATACCTTGCAATCTTTCACGCAATGAAATAAGATGCGAATTAATTGCATTAAATCTGAAAACCTTTGATGCCTCAGAGGTGAAAGTAATATATATTTTTCCCGCAAAAAATAATCGCAGGACCACGAGCTGTGTAATAGAGGTGACGCCGGGCATACGCTCGCATTTGTTGGGGAACGGACTCGTTTTTATTAATTACTCCGCTTGCAGAGTGTCGGATTATATCAGAGTGCTGCAGTGCTACAAGTGCCTAGCTTTCGGTCACTTCGCTGAGCAATGCAGGTTCTCCCCACTTTGCGGTCAATGCGCTGGCGATCACGAGACCAAAGCATGCTCCAGGAGAGATACGACTCCTGTCTGCGGGAACTGCAGGAGATGGACCTTGCAGGAAGCACAACACCGCTCGGCTTTGGACAGTAAACGATGTCCCATTCTGAGATAAAGAATAGCGGAAAGAACAAAAACGATTAACTATGGTTAACGAACTTTCAGAATTTCTACGCATATGTCATGTTAACTGTCAATCGTTAATGGCTCACCTTGACGAGTTCCAAGCCTATTTTGGTCCCACAGGATATCACATAATATGCCTATCCGAGACCTGGCTGAAGCCTGCTGTTTCGGATGATCTTATCTCACTGCGTGGGTACCAGATTTTCAGATGCGACAGGCGGGGTAGGAATGGCGGTGGAGTTGCTTTTTACATCTCCAACTCGCTTCAGGCAAGGATCCTGCTGCATTCGGAAGGTGTATGTGACGGAAGACCTGAATTTCTAGTGGCCGAAATCTCTGTAGGTAGTAGTTCTAAGATACTCCTGGCGGTGGTTTATCGGCCGCCTCATTGTGGATACTTACGAGAATTTTTAGATGCATTCGCGGATCTCTCTACCGGCTACAAGCACTTGATAATCTTTGGCGACTTCAATGCTGATCTGTGCTCTACCACTTTTGACTTGACTCAAATCTTAACTTTCATTGAAGCCACGAACCTCTACTTGGTTCCTTATGCTCCAACCCATCACACTCGTTCGTCTTCCACACTTCTAGACTTATGTATCGTTGATGATGCTGATAAATTGATATCCTACGGGCAATGCGACGCATGTTTCTTGTCTGCCCACGATCTCATCAGCATCAAATACAGGGTCAGAATTGAGCATCACCTCAGACGCAAGATCGTGGTGCGTGATTTCCGTTCTTTTGACATTGATGACTTCTTAAATGATCTGAGAGGATATGACTGGAACGTACTGTATCAGGCTGACAACATCGACAGCAAGGTTTCGTTTCTGAGTGATGCTCTTACTGAGTGCTACGACAGGCATGCGCCCCTACGAATCATCCAGCCCAAGCATTTTCCTGCTCCCTGGCTTACGCCAGACATCAAATCTGTGATGAAGACTAGAGACAGAGCGAGGAGAGTCTAGAAGAGAAGTAAGATCAATGCGAACTACACCAGATATAAGATCCTAAGAAATCAGGTTCAGGCTTTAGTACGTTCCGCCAAGGAAAAATATTATCTGAACGCCTTTCAAGACAGCAGCGAACCGACTGCTATATGGAAGAAGCTTAGGCATCTTGGTCTCTTAAAATCCAAAAATGTAGATAAAAAACTCATCTTCCCTACGGACGAACTCAATGAGTTCTTCGCAAGTGTTGCGGCAGGCTCTGACGGACAGCAGACACACCACCCTGTCTATCTCGGCGAAGAAACTTACGAAGACTCCAAATTCTATTGGAGTAACATTGAAAAAACTGCTGTGGCAAAAGCTTTGCTTCGAATCAAATCTGATGCGATTGGAGTCAACGGACTGTCTTGCAAACTCTTCATTTGGGCTCTACCTTGCGTCCTTCCGGTTTTAACACATATTTTCAATTTCAGCCTGACATACGGTGTTTACCCTCGAACTTGGAAGACAGCTATCATCTGCCCGATTCCGAAGGTTAAATGTCCGTCGGAAATGCAAGATTATAGGCCAATTTCGATTCTTTGCGCGGTCTCAAAGGCATTAGAGCGCATCGCGACTGAGCAGATATCGCGCTATATGGAAGAAACGGGCGCCTTGGATCCATTTCAATCTGCGTATAGAAAAGGACTTTCTACACAGTTTGCGTTAATTCGCGTACTTGATGATGTGAGACAGGCTGCAGATGGTAGGATGGTGACAGTTGCGGTCTTTTTTTATTTCACCAGAGCATTCGATTATGTTAATCATTATCGCTATTACATTTTAATTGACAAATTAAGAGACCTCGGCCTATCCACTTCAGCCTTAAGATGGTTATGCTCCTATCTTAATGACAGAAAGCAAGCTGTGCGTGATCCTATAACGAGGACGACGTCGTCTGAGCGTCCAGTGTTCACCGGTGTGCCTCAGGGCTCAGTTTTGGGACCTCTCTTATTTGTCATCTACTTAATTGGTTTCGGCAGAGTCCTTAAACACTGCAAATATCATTTCTACGCTGATGACCTGGTGATTTATCTGCACACTGAGCTTAAAAATTTAACTGAAGCTATTCTCAGAATAAACGAGAACATTACTAGCATCACGCACTGGGCCACATCTAACAAGCTATCTCTTAATCCCAGCAAAACCAAGGCCATGATCATGGGCACCCCTAGATTCATCAGCGGATTGAACTTGGATGTACTACCTAGAATCTACATCAACGACGCAGCCATCTCTTATTGTGACACAGTGCAGTACCTGGGTGTGCATATTACGAGCTCACTTTCGTGGGAGAAACATGTAACAAAAAAAGCAGCTAAAGCAAATGCAATTCTCCATCAGCTAAAGCTCTGTAAACACCTACTGCCGCTTCATCTTAAATTACGGCTTATAACTACCCTGATTCTGCCACTGTTCGATTACTGTTGCGCCGACATCACTCTCATCAGTTGCACTCTCCGACTTCACTACCGAACACAACCTTCGTCTACAAAGGTCTTTGAATACTTGTGTTCGGTTCATCTTCCAGGTAAAACGGGATGAGCACATAACTCCTTACTTTGAGAAACTGCATTGGCTCAAGATTAAATCCAGGCGTAACTACTTTATCGGCTGTCTGACTTTTAAACTCTTGAATCTTGAAACCTCTGATGCTATTTCTTGTAGATTTGAACGTAGACGCGACATAGTCTCCCGTGATACCAGGGCATCGGCTGATGCTCTCATCCTGCCACAATGCCGCACGGAATTTTATAGACGCTCTTTCATCTGCTCAGCGGTCGAATTTTGGAACAGTATTCCAACTGACATATGTCGTGCACCTACCCTTGACGCATTCAAACTAAAATTGTACGACTATCTGCTTAGCAATAACTTCTGACGTCTTTTGCTTCATTGTAGAACTTATTTATATACATGTACATACACTTCTTATTATTTTCTTATCTTTTACACAATATTTGTTATATTTTGTATGTAATGACAATTTATTTTATTGTATAAGTTTTGACGCTTGAAGGGACATTGTCCCAGAGTGTACAATAAATAGCAATTTTTCTCTCTCTCTCTCTCTCTCCCTCTCTGGAAAATTTCGTAACCGATTTTTAAAAAGATACCGGTTCCCAAAAAGATCGGTAACAAAAAACTATACAGTTTATAGCACTCCCCAGGAAATTCTACTCCTATTTTATATACAATTCTTTAAAATTTGATCAATTATTTCCCGAAAAGTTTGTCAAACTTCTGATACCAGTTTCCAAAAAGATCGGTAACGAAAAATTATATACTTTATAGCACTCCCCGGGAAATTCAACTCCTAAACCGGCTTCCAAAAAGATTGGTAACGAAAAATTATACACTTTAAAGCACTCCCTGGAAAATTCTACTCTTATTTTCATCTATAATTCTTTGGGATTCGGTCAATTATTTCCCAAAAAATTGAAAAAATTAGAAAAACCGGTTTCCAGAAAATCGGTAACAAAAAACTATACACATCATGGCACTTCCCGGGAAATTCTACCCTTTCATATAAGTACTTTTAGTAAAAATTCGGTTCACTAACGAATGAGTAGTTCGCGGACAGACGGACGGACGGACGGACGGACGGACAGACAGACAGACAAACAGTCGGGTTTTATAAAATAAAATAATAATATAATATATAAATATATATATATATATATATATATATATATATCCCTTAACTGGTCCGCGATCGAACGTTATCTGCACACGGGGTGTTGTATACCCCACACGACTTTGAACGTTGGTTACGGCGAAATGGAGGTTCCAATAGGCTTGAAAAAAATCAAGTACATACATTAAACACTGGAAAATGATACCCATTAGCCTAAACTATGAAATTTTTTGTTTTGAGGCTTCAAAAAAATTCTTGTATGAAAAATGGCTTGTTTTGCTAAAAAATCATATCTCAGTCAAAAATAAATATTTTTTGATAAAAATTTAACACGATGTTCTTGAGATAGAGTACTTTACGAAAAAAATTATGATTGTAGTGGGTATAAAAAAGGTATTTATTTTCATGATCGCCTGTGCCCCTTTTTTCTGAATTGAAATCTTGATTTTTATAAGAAAACTTATTTTTATTTTATGTTTAAGTCAGGAATGTGTCATTGGTGACTCGAACTAATGACAAGATGGCACTGCGATGCGAAATTCATAGATTAACCGACCGAAAAAGACGACTAAACTTCGTTTTGGGGTGTTTGACACCCCGCGTTCCTGTTAAGGGATATATATATAATATATATGGGGCATTCTCCGTGAAATCAGACACCCCCCCTGTCCAAAAATTGGGGTCACCTAAAAAATTTTTTCGGAGCTCATTTTATAGCTACACATATGTAGTTTTAGTTGAGCTGTGGCCTTTTGAAAAATTAACATGGCGCACCTTAATATGGTCGCCGAAGTCTGCAAGTAACGAGGTACGACAGATGAAATCGTTACTTGGAAGTTATAGACTGTCATAGAAAAATGTGTTAATGTGTTTATTTAGTAGTTAACTAAATCCATTGAATCCATGGAAAAAATAAATTTTTAGTTTGTCCAAAATCAATATGGCGACCAAATTATCCGTGAAATGCTAAAAAATAATTATTTTGTTCTTTAAAACGTACAAACTGCGTTCAATTTTCATGAAAATTTATATCATGATACATTTTAAGATGTTGATCATAAATTAACAATCGGGACGTCGTATTTGAATATAACGAAACCCAATATGGCGGCTGTATATTCGAAAAATGCTAAAAAATAATGACGTCGATATTCAAATCATACAGACTCGTTCTAATTATTATTAATTTGAGTGTTACGGTATTTTTTAATTGCTTTTTTTATTTACTTTTTCAAATTTTTATGAATTTTTATTATTTTTTTATTTTTGACTATGATTTCGTTATTGCGGTGACAAAATTTGAACGTAGTTGATCAAATATGATTTTTCCAGTAAATACAGAATAATTTTTGAATAAGTAAGTGAAGGCAAATCAGGTAGTCTTTCGAGCCAGTGAAGGCAAGAGAGACAGATTGTCCGGCCAGTAAAGGCAAGAGAGACAGACTGTCCAGCCAGTGAAGGCAGGAGAGACAGACTGTCCAGCCAGTGAAGGCAAGAGAGACAGATTGTCCGGCCAGTGAAGGCAAGAGAGACAGATTGTCCGGCCAATGAAGGCAAGAGAAACAGACTGTCCGGCCAGTGAAGGCAGAAGAGACAGACTGTCCAGCCAGTGAAGGCAGAAGAGACAGACTGTCCAGCCAGTGAAGACAAGAGAGAGACTGTCCAGCCAGTGAAGGCAAGAGAGACAGACTGTCCAGCCAGCGAAGAAAAATAATTATTCTGTATTTACTCGTATATACACCCGAGAGGGAAGCTCGGAGGAGGAGAGATTCGGCGCTCCCGGCGGGGAATCCGGAGCGTCGAACATACACTCTCACAACAACGAGAGGAATGACAGAGTGGATGGTGTCCCCACCCTGTTATAACAACAAATAAATAAGCTTCCTGAGCCACGAGCTAACAACTCAAGGAAGGGAGCCATCACTGGCTCGGCGCCAAGGGCGACCCGGATAGCAATAGTAAATGTTACCGGGCGCCCTCAACAATGGCGCAGGTAAGGACACCCGTGAGGTTTTAGTGGGTAGGCTGCGCGCGCTGCACTTTATCGAATGCAGCGTGTGTGGAATCCCACACTCCCCTCGTCCTCTCCCCGGAGGGCGGGGGGGTCTTCCCCCTCCAATACCAGAGGGGGCTGCTGGGCCATATACCGGGCTTGCCCGGGAACCCAGCAGTAGAAGATTTCCTCACGTAAAAAAAAAAAAAACCATATATATATATATATGGGGCATTCTCCGTAAAATCAGACACCTCCCCTATTTATATAGTATAGAGTATAGAGTATAATAGAATATATATATAGTATGAAGTATGATATGCAATGTAGTTGAAATGTTTCTTGACGTTTCTTGCTTACTGGATTACTTCTTGAATCAGAGTTTTCTCTTTTTTTATATTGAAATATACTTGTTTAATTTAAATAAACTTTGGGAAAAGTAGCTATGTCATAAAAGAAATATTTTGGGTCTGTTTTCTATTGCTGAACTGACTACACTAGTTCAGAGTTTATCTTTTTCCTTCTAATGTCACAATGTGGATGAGTAACAAAGATAAACTCTGAACTAGCGCAGCCAGTTCAGCAATAGAAAACAGACCCTTTGTGATAACTTTTCCATTGTTTAATTTCTTTCCATAAATACATAAACGGAACGCATTGCCAATCTGCCCCTTGTGCCAACGAGCCCCGATCTTCCCTAAGTTAGAGTGAGACAAGTATATTTTGTTTGACTTTAACTTATTGCACGAATGTGTACCAGTTCAGGAATTTCTTCGAAAAAGAATAGACGCCATAGATGGTATAATAGATGCATAAAGTTTCTAGAACATTCTTACGCATGTCTTAAAGACGTCATAAACACGTACGTTCAAAAGTGTAAAAAGTAGAAATTTTCTTTATTATTAAAAAAAACGTTTCTATAATAGCTTCTTAAACGTTATTTTATCGGAAAAGAAACGTTCCATCGAATGTTTTTAAATGGACATTTTTACTCATGAAAAACGTTTCTAGAAATCGGTTATGAAACGTTTCGGAAAAACGCTTATAAAACATTTTTGAATCTTGTATGTGCTACCTGGATTAATACTTGCATAACTTTGCTAATGACCGCGATCTCTGTTGTAATACATAGATTGTTATCAAAATTATGTAAATATTAAATTATTTATGATGCCGATTTATCAAGTAACACTCTAGCTCCTCTTTCGTATTTTTCTCCTTGTTAACGCGTTTTCGTGTTATTTTTTAATTATAATTTACAATATGTCTAAAAGTGGTCATATAAATTAGTTAAAACTAGACGTCTATAAAACGCCTCAAAAATGTTATGAGACGTTAATAAAACGTCTTATAAAAATTAAGACGTCATAATGTTTTCTGGGTTGGATGTTGATATATGTACTTACAAACATGCTAAAAAAATACATTGAAGAGAAAATTAAGAACTCGCTATTATATTCAGGATTACAATTAGTCCATTCAATATCATACTATCAATTTAAAGTCATGTCTTATTATTAATCGTTAAAAAACCACAACATTCTTTTTATTTCAAAATGACAACGTGGCAATTGCATCGTCACATACCCAACCGCCTAGATTATACGAGATACGTACAAATATATGAAAAACATAGACGGGTATATTAGCGGGAAAAAATATATAAACGATAATAAGAAACGCATGACTAGCGCGAATAATAAACTTCAGGTATAAATAATGAACAATTGCAAAACGTTAATTTTGTTTTAAATTAATCTGAACTTTTCGAGAGAATTTTCTCGAAGGGCACAATGTCCTAAGAGACCAGATTCGAACCTGTTCCATGCAGCCTGAGTGAAAAACGGGGATTCTTCCGTTAGACTCGCTCGCGTATGTACAGACGTGGTATCTTATTGCGCATAACTAATTGTG